CTTCATTTTCCATCAACCAAACTTTACACATCATTACTCTTTTCATCACTTAAAACCATTCATAATACTCCCATTTTTATTTTCTAATTATATACTTCATATCAGCGGGACCTTTCAATATTTTAACCTTTTTATTAACGAAATCTTTCACAGTGCTGTCATATTAAACCAAAAAACCTTGCATACTTTTCATATGAACCAAACCTTTCATAATAATGTAAATCATATTTCAGAAACCTTCGATAGAGCTACCACTTATATCAATGAACTATTAATAATGATACTATTGTCAATAAATACCCTTCATAATCTTACCAATTTCATCATCAAAACCTTTCATAATACTACCATTTTTATCAACGAAGCCCCTGCTACCACTTAGATAAGTCTATCTTCATACTTTTTTCTTATTGAAATCTTTCATAATACTACCATTATTCTATCAACCGAACCTGTTATTACACCATGGTGCTCTCTTCACCAACCAATGCTCTTCTACCTTCCATTTCTTTTACCTTCCATAATGTTACCATTGATAGCAATCAAACCTTTTCATGCTGCAACATTTTTTTAAAATTAAAACCTTGCATAACGCTAGTATCAACCAAGAATTTCATTATATAACCTTTCATAATGAAAACTTTCATACTACTACGAGTTGCACTTTCTAAACCTTTCACAATACTACCATTTTCTTGACCCGAGCTCCATATGTACCATTATATTCAACCTTTCTTCCTTGTAATATTATTTTTATTTCTTATCATTCTTTATGTATCAACGAGACCTCTCATGTTACTATTTTTATTATTCTGGAAACCATTATCCGATCATATATATCAACCCATTCATACTATTAATGTGAACCAAACCTTCGATATTACTATAAACCATATTACTGAAACCTTCCATACTGCTACCACTATTATTAATGAAACTTTTAATATTGTTACTATTGTTGTCAAAAACTTCCATGGTACTGCCATATTTATCAGCCAAACCTTTCAAAATGCTACCATTCTTATTAACAAACCCTCTCACGCTACCATTTAGATCAGCCTTTCTGAATACTTGTTATGGAAACCTTTCATAATACTACCATGATTCTATCAACCAAACCTACAGTACTACCACTCACAGTGCTACCTCTTTTACCAACCAAACATAGCCTCTGCCATTTTTCGTTATTGAAACCTTCCATAATGTTACCATTTTAGCTAACCAAACATTTCATGCTGCCATTTTCATCAAAACCTTTCATAACGCTAGCTTTTCCATCAACCAAGCTTTTTATAACATTGACCTTTTTATCAATCAAGCTTTTCATAACATTAATCCTTTTTATCAACCAAGCCTTTCATAACATGTTATGAAGCCTTCCATAACATTAATCTTTTTATCAACCAATTCTTTCAATTTATTACCATTTTAATCAGTTGAGCTTCTTGCCTTACTACCATCTTTCTTAATGAAGCCCTTATTACTAAGAATTGTATCATTCAAAAAAAAATCATTCCACTGATATCTTTGTCAGCGAAACCTTTCATAATACTACCATATTTATGAACCAAACCTCATATGCTACCATTATGATCGACCTTTTTTTCCTCGTATTACCATTTTTATTACTTAATCTCTTATGATGCTACCATTTTTATCAGCCAAACTCTTTCATCAACCAAACACTGCATGATACTACCATTATTATTATCGAAAGCTTTCGTCATGGTATCATTTTCATCAGTCAGATGGTACAGGATACTGGTATATTTATCAATTATACCTTTCGTAATAACAACACATACTCACTCACATTCACACTCACTCACCACACACACACACACCACACACACACACACACACACACACACACACACACACACACACACACACACACACACACACACACACACACACACACACACACACACACACCACAGAACCCTCGTAATAGTGACATTCATCATCGAAAAACATTCACAATATGTTTAGTAAAGTCATCCATGTAAGTCTGTTTGTCAGCCAAACTCTCCATTATGCTACCCTTTGCATCAATCCTTCATTAATTACTTTAAAATTATAATAATAATCATATCACCATCGTCATGGAAACCTTTCATAAAACTGACATTTTTATCAACCAAAGCTTTTCATAATTCTAACGGAAGCTCGAATTATAGAATGAATCTTATCAGGAAAACTATATATATATATATATATATTTTTTTATCAACGCAATCTTACGTTATCTTACTATTTCAGTTATCAGACTCTCCATGCTACCATTTTTATCGACCTTTTTCTATATATATCTTTTTTATGGAAGCCTTTCATTATACTACTATTTTTCATCCAACTTTTCATGCTACAATCTTTATCAGTGAAGCCTTTTATAATCTATATCATTTTCATAGTTCTTCTATTTTCTTCAATAAAACCTTTTCATAGCACCATCCTCATCAACCAAAGCTTTCATAATTCTACTTTACCAAATTATTTCTACCAACGAAAGCTTTCATGCTAGAACTTTTATCAACAAAAACTTTCAATACTATTTTCATTAGTGAAACCATGCATAATTCTACCATATTTATCAACGAGACCTTTCACTATGTTACCCTTATTCTTAAGGAAAACTTTTATAGTGTTTCCACGATTATATTAAAAAAAAAAAAAAAAAAAAAAACTTACATGCTACCATTCTTATGAGGCAAGCATTTGTCATAACGAGTTTTCATAATGCCATTATTTTTAGTCAGCAGAATTATCTATAATACTACGAAATTTATCAATAAAACTTTTCACGATTCCACCATTTTTATCGACGAAGCCTTTCAATAAATTACCATTTACGTCATCAAAACCTTCCGTAATACCATTTTAACAACCAAACCTTTCATAATATTACCATTTCCAGTACCAAAATATATCTCACGATACCTCCTTGTAAACGATACTTTTCATACCACCATATTTATCACAATAACCTATTACCTTTCGTATAACTATTTTGCTTATCCTATTTACACGTTTCATAAAACTACACCTGTTATATACCAAATAATTTACATTACCGAACTCTTTCAAAATATTAATATTCACGTCAACAAGAACTTTTGAGCTGTCTCCTGTATCGATCAAACTTGACTTAATACTATCATTTTCGTCAATGAAATAATAAACTTTACTTAATACTACCATTTTCGTCAATGAAACAACCAAACTTTACTTAAAACTGTACGAATAAATGATTTCGTCAATGATTTTCGTCAATGAAATAATCACTTTACCATTTTCGTCAATAAACTTTACTTAATACTACATTTTCGTCAATGACTTTACTTAATACTACCATTTTCGTCAATGTACTACCATCAATGTCGGAACTTTACTTAATACTACCATTTTCGTCAATGAAACAACCAAACTTTACTTAATACTACCATTTTCGTCAATGAAACAACCAAACTTTACGTAAAATATCATTTTCGTCAATGAAACCTTTCATAATGATCCCGTACATACTAAAAAAAAAAAAAAAATATTCATACTGTTATCATTGTATCATCACCTTATTTAATGTTACCATCTGAATTAGCGAGACCTTTCAATATTGTTACTCTTACTCAAGGAAATCTTCCCTAATACTACTAAGTTAATATAGAAACACTTCATGTTTCAGTTTCTATGAACCAAGCTGTTCATAATGCTGCCATTTTTGTAAACGAAACCTTTTATAATGCTAAGAATTTTATCAAAAAAAAAAAAAAAAAAACATTTATGATACTACCATTCTTACAACTTACTATTTTCATAAGCCTTTCTTCGCTATAAAATCCTTTCATAATAATATAATTTTTACCTCAGAGTGCTACCATCTATACCAGTGAAACCTTTCATGCTACCTCTTTCATTAACCCTGTATAATAATACCTTTTTATCATCGAAATAATATTACCATTTTTCATCACGAAATCCTTTCACATTATCAAATATTTCCCCACGATACCATTTGATCAAAATATTTCTGAAAATACCCTACAAACGATACCTTTCATGCTAGCATTTTAATCATCAAAACCTCTCATACCAATTAATGTAACCATTCATAAGTATATCATATCTACTTTTAGAGTAATCATAATATTTCTTAATGCTACCATGTTTATCAAGAACCTTTCCATGTTACCATTCTTATGAACCAAACCTTTGTGAGCGAGATCTTCCATAATACTAATAAGTTTTAATAATACCATATTTTTTTAGCGAGTGGTAACGAAGCCATTTATAATAAGATTTTTTTTTTTTTAATACCACTATTTTCATCATCGATATCTCGCATAAAGTTACCACTTTCATCATCAAATCATTACCGTTACCAAAATATAACTTAAGATACCTTATCAATGAAACCTTTCTTGCCACCATATTTATCATCAAAACCTTTCATGCTGTCTATTCAACCTTTCATTCTATCTTTTCTTCAACAAACCTTTCATATCACTCTTTTACTTATCTTATTTACTTTTCATATTACATTTTCTTGCAACCCAATCCTTTCATACTATTTTTATTCAAAATACGAATATTCATATCAACAAAAAATTCCATATAGTGTCTTATACCAACCAAACCTTATTTAATACTTCATCAGTGAAACCTTCCTTGATATACTGTTCATATCAAAGAAATTATTCATAATATTACCATTTCATCAACACCTTTTTCAGTGCTACCATCAGCATTAGCGAGACCTTTCAATATGTTACCCTTATTTAAGGAAACCTTCCCTAATACTACCAAGTTAATCAGGAAACCTTTCATGCTAAAAAATTCTATGAACCAAGCCTTTCATAGTGCTGCGATTTTCGTAAACAAAACCTTTCATAATGCTATGAGTTTTATCAACAAAACCTTCCATGATATCATTTTTATCAGCATAACCTCTGAAGCTAATATTTCCATAAGCCTTTCTTTGCTATAGAAACCTTTTATATATTTTTTTCTTTTCCTTTTTCTTTTCTTTTTCTTTTCTTTTCTTTTACCAACCAAATCTTTCAGTGTTACTATTTATATCATTTAAACTTTCCATGCTCTTTTCATCAACCATACCTTGCGTAATACTCCCATTTTTATTATCGAAACCTTTCATAATGCTACCATTTTCATCAATAAAACCTATCATTATCCTTCTTAGCCAAAGCTTTCGTAATACATCAAAATATTTCTAAAGATACCTCAAAAACGAAATGTTTCATACTAGCATTTATATCAGAATCCCTCATACCATTTTCATAAATTAAACCATTCTTAATTCTACCATATTTATTATTATCGTGATCACCTGTATGGACGAGACCTTTACCTATGATTATTCTCATTATTAAAGAAACCTTTCATCGTGCTACCATAGTCATCAAGAAGCCTTTCATGCCACCATTCTTATGAGCCAAAGTTTTTCCATCGAGACCTTCCCATAGTAATACCATTTATTAGCGAAAGTTTTAATAATGTCATAATTTTTCTCAATGAAACCATTTATAGTAGTACGGGTTTTATCAGTAAAACCTTTCACGATAACACCATTATTATCAACGCACCTTTCATCAAGTTACTATTTTCATCATCAAATCCTTTCATAATACCTTTTCAGCAACCAAGCCTTTCATAATATTACCGTTTTCAGAACCAAAATATATCTCCAGATACCTTCTTGTAAGCGAAGCCTTTCATGCTACCATATTTATCATCAAAATCTTTCTAAGTGCTTCCATTTACGTTAACCAAACCTTTCATACTATCTGTTTCATCAACCAAACATTCCACGTTATCTTTTCAAGCAACCAAAAACCTTTCATAATACTCTCATATTTTGCTTATCTTACACTTTTCGTAAAGTTACTTTTTTTTTTACTATTTTTATCACCAAACCCTTTCAAAGTTCTAATATTAGTATCAACAAAAACTTTCATATTGTGTCTTGTATCAACCAAACTTTGCTAAATAATATCATTTTCATCAATGAAACCTTTCATAGTGATACCATTCACACTAAATAAGTCATTCATACAAATACCATTTTATTTAAGTAAACCTTTCATTATACTCCCGTGTTAATCAAGAAACCTTTCATGCTATAATTACTATGAAGCATGCCTATCATAATACCATATTTGTATAAGAAATCTTTCATAATACTATGAATTTGATCATCAAAACCTTTCACGATACTACCATTCTTATCAACAAAACCTCTCAAACTACCATTTTCATCAGTCATTCATCGTTAGGGAAAACTTTCATAATATTACCATAGTTTTATCAACCAAATCTTTCATCGTACTACCATTAATATCAATGAATTTTCATAGGACTACCATTTATATCATGAAATCTTTCATGCCACTTTTTCACCAACCATACCTTGCATAACACTACCATTTTTATTATCAAAACCTTTCATAATGCTACCATTTTCAAAAACCTTTCAATCAAAGCTTTCATTATACTACATATCCAAATTATTTCTTAAGATACTTCAGAAAGAATTTTTATACTAGCATTTATATCAGAATCTTCCATCCCATTTTCATAGTGAAACCATTCATAATTCCACCATATTTATTATTAACGTGATCATATGTATCGAGACCATTAAATACGTAAACCTTTTTAAAAGAAACCTTTCATAATGTTACCATGATTATCAAGAAACCTTCCATGCTACCATAATACTTTCATGATACTACCATTCTTACCAACAAAACCTCTCAAGCTACTATTTTCATCAGTCACTCATCGTTAGGGAAACCTTTCATAATATTACCATAGTTTTGATCAACCAAATCTTTCATAGTACTACCATTAATATCAACCAAATTTTTCATAGGACTACCATTTATATCAATGAAATCTTTCATACCACTTTTTTCACCACCATACCTTGCATAACACTACCAATTTTATTATCAAAACCTTTCATAAATACCATTTTCATCAGTAAAACCTTTCAATCAAAGCTTTCATTATACTACATATCCAAATTATTTCTTAAGATACTTCAGAAACGAATTATACTAGCATTTATATCAGAATCTTCCATCCCATTTTCATAAGTGAAACCATTCATAATTCCACCATATTTATTATCATCGTGATCATATGTATCGAGACCATTCAATACGTAAACCTTTTTAAGGAAACCTTTCATAATGTTACCATGATTATCAAGAAACCTTCCATGCTACCATTCCTATGAACCAAGCCCTTGTCACCGAGAACTTTCATAATGCTATCATTTTTGTTAATGTTTTAATGATGCCATAACTTTTGTCAACGAAATGATCTATAATACCACCATTTTTAATAATGAAACCTTTCATAAAGTTGCTCTTTTATCATAAAAAAAATAGTTTCATAATACCCTCTTTAACAACAAACCTTTCCATAGTATTACCATTTAAATACCAAATATATCTAAGATACATTCTTGTAAACGAAACCATATTTATCATCAAAATTTTACGTAGTGCTTCCATTCCATTAACAAACCTTTCACGCTGTCAGTTTCAACAACCAAACCTTTCACGTTATCTTTTCTAGCAACCAAACCTTTCATATTACTATTTTGCTTATCTTATCTAAACTTTTCATAACGTTACATCTTACAAACCTAACCTTTCGTGTTATTTTCATCACCAAACCCTTTCAAAATTCTGATATTAGTATCAACAAGAACTTTTATATTATGTCTTATATCAACCAAACTTCATTAAATACTATAATTTTCATCAATGAGACCTTTCATAGTGATACCATTCATACTAAAAGACATTCATACTATTACCATTTCATTATCACGTTTATGATAACATCTGTATCAATGAAACCTTTTAATGTGTTAACCTTATTATCAAGGAAGCCTTCCATAATATAAGTATTTTAATCAAGAAACCTTTCATGCTAACATTTATATGAACAAAACCTTTCACAATGCTTCCATTTCTGCAAACGAAACCTTTCATACTAATAGGATTTTCATCATCAAAAGCTTTCATGGTACTACCATTCTTAACTATACTTCTGAAACTGTTACTTTCACCACCCTTTCTACGTTATAGAAACCTTTCACAATAATACCCATGTTTTTTCAACCAATTGTTTCAAAGTACTACCATCAATGAAATCTTTCATGCTACCTCTTTCTTGTAACATACATTGCATAATATTACCATTTGTAATATCGAAACCTTTCATAATGTTACCTTTTATACCACCAAACCTTGTATATTACTAGCATAATTATTCATCAAACCCTGTATAATTCTTTTTTTATATTGCAGACACATTCTTGTTTAGAAAATTCATAAAAGTACCATTTCTATCATGAAAAAAAATCATAATACTACTACCTTTATTAGGAAACCTTTCATATTATTTTTCCCAAAAACTTTTGATGAGTCTCCCCTCCTTATCACATTTTTAAAAAATAAGTTTCATTGTGCTTTCATTTTCATCAACAAATCACATTACCACCATCACTAAACCATTCATTTAGTTCATAATTTTTTATTCCTATATACAACCGTTTTTTATAATGAAATCTTTTAACTATATTATTATAGAAACCTGTCATAATAATACCATTTTCTTTCAACCAAACCTTTCGTACCATTCTCATCAACGAAACCTTTCATGCTTCTATTTTCATATTGCCTTCCAAAATACTAGTATCTTTTATCGACCAAACCTTTCATAGCATATTTACTTATTAGACATTTCATATGGCTACCATTATCATCAATGAAACCTTCTATGCTGCCATCATCATAATCGAAACCTTTTCTACCATTGCCATTCATATCAAGACCCTTTCATTATGCTACCCTTTTCAAACATTATTTTATTATTGCTGAAAATATTTCACGAAAACATTCATGCTAACATTTATATTAACCTTTCATACTACTTCAGAAAAATATTTTCTGCTATCGCTACTATTAGCCAACCCTTTCCCTAATATCACAATTGTAATCAAAGAAAATTTTCATAATCATATTTTTTTTATCAACAAAAATTCCCATGCTACAATTTTTACCAACCAAATCTTACTAATACTACCATATTTATCAGTCAAACCTTTTTTCTATTTTTTTCATTATCATTCTTATCAAAATCATATTACCTCTTTTCCGAAGAATTTTATCAATCAAAGCTTTCATGATATCACCAAATCCTTTTATAACGTAACCATTTATTCTCAGCAAAACCTTTCATACTATTTTAAAAATGAAACCTCCCATAATACCATCATCTTTATCACTAAAACCTTTCACACCACTATCATTTTAATCCACATAATCTTCCATAATGCTACCATGGAAACGTTTCGTAGTACTACCATCTTTCTTATTGAAACCTTTCATAACGCTACCATCTTATATCATCTAAACCTCTCATAATAATATCATACTTATCAAAGGAACTTTTCATAAAGCTTATCACTTTTTATCAGCGAAGGTTTTCATAATACAACCGCTTTCACAATCAAACCTTTCCTGCTACTATTTTCATCATTATAGCCTTTCATAATAATACCCTTTCCTTTATTAAACTTTTCATATTGAATATCAACCAAGCCTTTCATTATACTACTAGATTTTATCAGCGAAATTATCCCTTACGCATTTTTTCATCATCTTTATCCGTCAAAATTGTGATGATGAAACTACCATTTTTTCCAAAGAAACCTTCCATAATACGACCATTTCCATGACCCTTTAAAGTACCATTTTACTAAACAAACGTTTCATAATATTGTTTTTTTTTTTTTTTTTTTTATTAAGACCTTTTATGATACTACCATTTTATCAGAATAACCCTTTACAATGTTACCAAGACTTTTATCAACCAAACTTTTTATGATGATTATAGTAACAATAATAATAGCGATAATACGAACAACAACAACAATGATAATAATAATGATAAAAAAAATAATAATGGCGATAATGCGAACAATAATAATAATGATGATAATGATAATAACAATAACAAGATAATAATAATAGCAATCGCAATGGCAACAACAACAACAACAACAACATAACAAGAATAAGAATATAGAAAACGAAAATTCGACAATTAAAAATAATAAAAAAGTTTCCCTTGCGTTCTTCTCACGTTTTCTTTAATGGCAGAATCTCCGTCACTCTTTTCTTCAGGATTTTGTATCATTCTACCATAATTATAGCTTTTCGAGACTATTTCCATATTTTGCTTTTTTGTTTTTTGTTACCTCTTCTTCTTCTTTTAAGCTTTGCCCTCCTTTTATCATGCTTCTTTTCATTTTTGCATTCTATTATAAGGAAAAAAACAGGATTTTTTTTTAATTACCGAATATAATCTTCCATTTGAAAACTGCCATTAATCTCTTAAATCCTTCTACTCTCACTATTCTACCTTTCTCTTCTTCTTTTTATTCCCCCTAAATATCATAATCGAAAATCCAATATAAACATAAACACATAAATATAAATATAACATAAACAAATATGAATATAAATATAAATATAACATAGACAAATATAAATATAAATATAAACATAACATAAACAAATATAAATATAAATATAAATATAACATAAACACACCTCCGTTTTTTTCTTTAAGTCACCCCTTGAACTCAACACAACCGAAAACGTACCCTTGATTTGTATCTCATAATGTAACTTTTTTTTCTCTCTGAAATCTACCCAAAGCTACAGTTTATATCACATTACCTCGGGGGTATTCGTACTCATTATCTTTGTTATGAATGCTGGCTGAACGGACTGTCATCCACTCGTGTTTTCTTTTTTCTTTTTCTCTTCTTTTCTCTCTTCTTTCTTTTTCTTTCTTTCTTTCTTTCTTTCTTTCTTTTTTCTTTCTTTCTTCTTTCTTTCTTTCTTTTTCTTTCTTTCTTTCTTTCTTTCTTTCTTTCTTTCTTCTTTCTTTCTTTTCTTTTCTTTTCTTTTCTTTCTTAATCTTTTGACTGAATTCTTATCCTCGTTCTCCCTTTTACACCTGTCCTTCTCACGCACCTGTACATCGCCTTAATTTGCATAAGATTACCATGTAGCCGGACCGGGCGGGGGCTTGTTAATCAGACCGTAATTATATTATTATTATTATTAAATACGGTGTCAAAGAAGCTCTTAAAATGTACTCAGATAAAAAAAATTATAGTTTTTTTTTTTTTTTTTTTTTTTTTTTTTACGGATTCAAGTAGATAGATATAACGAGAGACACATTGATACACGGACTGATGAAGGTAGGTCTATAGATAAAGAAGGAGAATAGATAGACTATCAAAGAGATAGGAAGACAGTTGTAGATCGATAGAAATAGATATATCATTTAGAAGACAAGTAGATATAAATAGATAGGTAGATGCTAGAGGGACAGCAACGATCATTATGAATAAATAAACAAACAAAAAGTTACGTTAGCAGACATATAAATACCCCTGAGATATTGTATTGCAAGACATGTCTCTTACTCTATTGTAAAAAACGAAAGAAAAGAAATATTCAGAACTGTGATTTAGAAATCGTATGAATAGAACGGTTAATATGATTTCTTTTTCTTTTATTTTAACCTTAAGTTTTCGTTCTCAAATTATTATAGAAAGTTTTTTACATCTTACGCGTCTCTCTCTCCATCTCTCTCTCTCTCTCTCTCTTTCTCTTTCTCTTTCTCTTTCTCTCTCTTCTCTCTCTCTCTCTCTCTCTCTCTCTCTCTCTCTCTCTCTCCCTCTCTCCCTCTCTCTCTCTCTCTCTCCCTCTCTCCCTCTCTTTCCCTCCCTCCCTCCTTCCCTCCCCCTCTCTCTCTCTCTCTCTCTCTCCAACCAATTTCCAAATCATATTTTCCTAATTCGATAACCAAGGCCCTCTCTGCCACGTGTAAAATAGGGTTATCCTTTCATTAATATAATCATCGGGCTCTTAATACTATTTGCAGCATAATTACATCAACTTGTCTCGGGTTTTAAGCGAGTTTCGGATCTTTATGTCGTTATTATACAACTAATATGAGTTTATTCCTTACTCTTTTTCGTAATAAATTGCATTGTTGATGTGACACGGATGTCACGTGGTAAATTTTGTTGGGTTTTCATTGATTTTTTTTTTTTTCATTATCATTACCATTCACGCATTTTTTCCTTCTCCCCCTTCCTATTCCTATCCCTCTTTCTCTCCCTCTTCCTCTTCCTTTTCTTCTTCTCCTCCTTCTCCCACTTCCTCTCCCTCCTCTTCCTTTTTCCCTCTTCTTCTTCCTCTCCATCTCCCTCTCCTTCTCCTTCTCCTTCTTCTCCTTTTCATTTCCTCCCTCTCCCTCTCCCTCTCCCTTTTCCCCTCCCTCTTCTTCTTCCACTCCATCTCCCTCTCCTTCTCCTTCTCCTTCTTCTCCTTTTCATTTCCTCCCTCTCCCTCTCCCATCTACCCAGACCATCACACCAAAAAGAACATCAATAATTTCTAGCAGTTCTGCCTCTCCTGTCAATCTCATTATATCATTCACGCCCTCTGTTGATTTCCCTTACACGGTGTCACTTCTGGCTTTCACCGTTATATCTTTTCTCCGTAAAAAATCTGTGAAGAATAAATCAAATTCATTTATTATTCTATCGTCTGTCTTTGTCTGTCTTTCTCTTTCCTCCGCGGGTAAAATTTTTACGTGTCCCAACTTTTTTTGTTTTTTTGGCTTCCATACCTGGTTATCGTTTCTGACTTCTAGAATATATCTTATTCGTAATATTCTATATCTTCCTTTTGCAATATTACTCTTAAGATTACTTCCCAGTGTTACTTTACCGACATATTAATTGTATATTTTTTTCATTACTATGTGCATTTAACTTACGTTTTTTTTTTTTTTTCTTCTTTCTTTTTCTTTTTCTTTTTTCTGGTCCAGCGTGTCACTTTCCTTGGTATACCTTCCCTATTAATGTATATCTCTCAATGTTCCTTAAATAAAACTCATTTTAAGGAATCACATTTCAACATTCATATCTGAGAAGCTTCATATCACTTCATATCATGTCGATTATTCTTTTAACACTCAACCTTTCATTTTACATTTTAACGTCTTACTCTGTTCTTTCCGTAGAGCAGAATATCATAAAACTCTACATTGACTTTTGTTTCATATTTCCCATATTGTTTCATATCAGTCATATCGTTCTACACAGATAACCATTCACACGTCTTTTTTACCATTCATATGTATCAAAACAACTTTACAACTTTAATTTCATTCCATATATTACTACCTGATGTGTCTTTATTCTACCTCGATTTTGCAATCATTTATTCAAATCTTGTATCATTCATATTTTGTGTCATTCATATTTTTTGCCAGTCGTATCCTGTGTCATTCATATCTTGTCATTCATAAATTGTGCCATAACTCGTGTCATTTTCATATCCTGCGTCGGTTATGGCTTTTATGTTACTCATGTTACTACTTCCATTCATACCTCGTGTCATTTTCATATCTCGTGGCACTCATACCCCATGTCACTCACTCACACTAATTGTGCCATCCAGACCTTGTAGTCCCTTACTATTTCTATTTTCTCTACGCAAGAAATCCCTTTGTAATTTTTATTTCCCTTTTATTTCATGTCACTTTCCCCTTATCCGTTATATCAGTGTTTTCTCTTTCTTAAAATGTGATAAATCAACAGACCCGTTTTATACCAAGTCATCAGTCTTTTCATTTATATAATGACCTTTTTATATTTATATTTTTTTAGTCTCCTTTTCAACCTCGATAAATGTATATCTTCCAAAACCCAGTTAATTTGTACGTATCATTCTCATGTTCCATTCTTTCAAGTGTTATGATTCATACCTGTGCACCATCTCATATCCATTCATTACTTAACTTTTGCAATCAGTTCACTAAAATGTCCCAATATTCAACTCGGTATTTTTCGACTTAATAAACCTAATAAATCATATTTTCAACCTTTTATCGTTTTTTTTCATTAGTTATTTCTTCGCACTGATAAACCTCATAATTCCTTTTTTCACCTTAAATCACTTTTTTTCTTCAAATGTTCGCATTAATTCGCATGACTCATACCTTAAACATGTGAGCCTTTTAAACCCATACTTTAAACCGGTTCACCTTTCAAAATACTCCATCCAAAAGGTCATTCACCCCTTGGTTTATTTCTGGTATATATGGTGGTATTTTCTTAGCCTCCGTGTTAATCTATCCAGTTTTTACAGAAACTTTTCCTTAATTCACCATTCATTCACATTCTACTCGAGAAATCATTTAACTATGTCTTCCTCTCCTTCTCCTCCTCCCCTTCCCTCTCTCCCTCTCCCTCTCCTCCTTCTCTCCTCTCTCCCCCTCCCCTCTCCTCCTTCTCCCTCTCCCTCGCCTTCTTCTCCTTCCCTCTTTCTCTCTCTCTCTCTCCCTTTCTTCACCCTCTTTCCTTTCTCTCTTCCCTCTTCCTCTCCTTAACTTTGCGTGTTCACCTGAGAGTGTGAATTATAAAAAGCTTATCTACCCAGAGTATCACTTATATTTCTACTTTATATATCTACCCTGGATGTCATTCGTGCCCGTCTTCTAAATATACTTGTGGTGTTGTTTCTACCTTGTATTATGCAACATTCGATATCAGTCAGCCAGGGTCTCATATACACATTAAATCGTTCTACTTTTCTTAATACTCCACCTAGTATGTTGTTTACTCCTTATATATTGTCTTTCGTACTTTTTTAAAGCAAGAGAAAGAGAGAAAATAACACTGTGATTATTTTATCTTTTATTTTGCATTACTCTTTCTTCATGTCTACTTTCTTTTATTCCCTCTCACACAACCTTTCTAGAAATTCATTCCCGTTTTCGTAAATGTATCATTCATTCTGCTTTTCATACTTATTTCATGTCGTCATTTATAATTCATGTTATTATACTTTTTCGTCGTTTTTTCCATATTTCTTGTACATTGTTTCACTGTTTTCCCATTCATGTCCTTTTGTCAACTCCATATCTCTACATTCATTTCATGTTTCTTTGTTCATTCTATATTCCTCGACCGTTCCATGTACCTTTGTCCATTTCACGTTCCTTTGTCCGTGTTTACATCACGCATCGAATGATATAATTCTCAAATCCACGTTTTTTATCGTTTGTGTTTAATCCACGTTCCTCCCTCATACCTTCTACTTTTTCCTACCTTTCCCCTAAGTCTGTCCAAAGGCGGTATTGACATCTTTCATATATTCCTCTATTTGAAGGTCGTCTTTCTCAACTACAAACGACCCTCTTCATACCATTCATAATTTATCAATATCAATGTTCTGTTCCTTTCCTACTCAACGCATATTATATGATACTTTTAGCATGATTAAATTTAACAAAATACGTAATTCTTCGCTTTACTCTATTTTTTTTTTTTTTTTTTTTTTTTAATACTGCATCTAAGTTGTCATTCATACATTTATACGTTATACAAGAGAAAAATACTTCTTGTATATCGTGTGTTCCTTCCGTCTTTCGTATAATAAACGGGATAATGAAATATCTTATTAGAAACTTTTCATATTCCACTATCTCACTATTAATGTAACTGGTGACGTTAATGATTCTATAACTCTATATACGTATTTGCCATACCTTTATTAATCCTATTTTTCGTATTTTTCGTCGCATACTTCCATTCATACAATTCATTCTACTACACATACAGAATCTTTCGTAGTGTTTATTTTTTTCTCTTTTCTTTATTCCCCCCGTCTTTTTACCATATCGTTTATATTTCCCACTTTCTTAATTCTTTTTTCTTTATTTTTTGTCTATTGCAACACTACTAAGAAAGTTCATGTGTCATCTTTACTTTTTTATATTATTTTGACTGAGGACAACCCCGCACATTTACATACTAATATGTTCTACATACATAATACGTACACAGATGTTATTGTTCCTGCTTAATCCACATATGCATTTTATTTGCTATTTTTGTCGTATTAATCTACACGCGATATATTAGTCATAACTCTCATTTCTCTGTCTCAGGTTGCCCGCGTTATTAATAACTTAGATAATAACTTTAATGCGAACCATTGACTAATTTATATCTTCCAAAACCCAAAACAAACGACGAATTGTACCAACTGTGTTACTTTTAAGTTTTGTTTTATTCGTCTTATAATTAGTTATTTCGCTTTATTCTATCTGTTGCTTTATTCAGGACTTCATTAACGTTTCTCTCTCTCTCTCTCTCTCTCTCTCTCTCTCTCTCTCTCTCTCTCTCTCTCTCTCTCTCTCTCTCTCTCTCTCTCTCTCTCTCTCTCTCTCTCTCTCTTCATTGATCATTTCTTGTCCGTTTTAGAAGCGGAAACGAGAGAAATATTTGCAAGAAAAGAAAACGGGTGGAAGAGAGTAATTATTTTTGGCAAGAAAACGGGAGGATTTTTTGCAAAGGAGCGCTAGCAAGTAACAGAAATGGGGAAGATTTTTTTTGCCAAAAGAAGAAACGGGGAGGATTTTTTGCAAGAGGAAATGAAGAGGATTTTTTTTGCAAGAGGAAACGGGAAAGGATTTTTGCAAAAGGGGGAAACAGGAAGGGACTTTTGCAAAACGAGGAAACGGGAAAGGATCTTTGAAAGGGGAAACCGGGAGATTTTTTTGCAAGAAGGGGAAACAGAGAAATTTTGCAAGAACGGAAAACGGAGAAGAATTTTTGCAAGAAGAGAAAACAAGGAAAGTTTTTTTTTTTTTTTTTTTTTGCAAGAAGAGAAGACAAGAGAAAACGAGAAAGAATTTTTGCAAGAAACGGGAGATATTTTTGTAAGTAGTTAAGAGAAAATTTTTGCAACTGGTAACTGGAAGTTTTTGCAAGAAGGGGAAACAGGGAGGAATTATTGCAAGAAGGGGAAACGGAGAGAAATTTTTGCAAGACGGGGAAACGGGAAAGAATGTTTGCAAGAAAGAGAAACAGTAAGGGATTTTGGCGAGAGGAAAAGGAGGATTTTGGCAAGAAAGAGAGAAACGAGAATGGGTTTTTTGCAAGAAAAGGAAATAAGGAATGATTTTAGTACGATGGTGAAACGAGGAGGAAATTTTGCAAGAAGAAACAGTGTTTGCAATTAATATTTTGCAAGAAGAAGAAATGGGGAGAAATGTTTTGCAAGAAGGTGAAACGGGAAGGAATTTTTGGCAAAAGAGAGGAAGCAGGAAAGGAATTTTTTGCCAAAAGGGAAAATAATTTCTACAAGAGGGGGAAACTGGATTTTTTCCGAGAAGGGGAAACAGGGATGAATTTCCGCAAGAAAAGGAAATGGAGAGGAATATTTACGACAGGAAACGGGAAGGAATTTTCGCAAGAAGGGAAAACGGGAATAATTTTTGCAAAAGATGAAACGGGGAGAAATTTCCAAGAAAGGGAAACGGAACAGGAATTGGGAAAGATCCAGAGAAGGAACCGTACAGGAATCTTTGCCCGGAAGGAAATAGGGTAGAAATTTTATGCAAGAAGGTGAAACAGAGAAGAATCATCGACTAGGAAAGGAAGTAGGTAAGAATTTTTGAAAATAGAAGAAAGGGGAAGGAAGAAAGAAGAAGAAAGGGGAGGAAGCGAGGGAGGAATTCTTTTACAGGAAGTTGGAACAGTTGACGTATTTTAGTCAGAGATGGAAACGGAAAAGTATATACTCTGTAAATTGTAGTCGTTTAAATCTCTGAAATTCCTTCGCATCACACACATTTTTTTTTTTTTTTTTTTTTTTTTACTTTTTTTCTCTCTCCTTTTGCTCCTTTTTCCTATCTCTTTTCTTCTTCTTCTTCTTTACTCTTCTCTTTTTCTCTCTCCTGTTGCTCCTTTTTTCTATCTTTTTTTCACTCTTCTCTTTCTCTCTCCTTTTGCCCCTTTTTCCTATCTCTTTTCTTCTTCTTCTTTAGTCTTCCCATTTTCTCTCTCATTTTGCCCCCTTTTCCTTTTTTTCTTCTTTACTCTTCTATTTTTCTCTCTCCTTTTGCCCCTATTCTTATCTTTTCTTTCTTTACTCCTCTCTTTTTTTCTCTCCTTTTGCCTCTATTCCTTTTTTTTCTCTCTTTTTCTTCTTTCCATTATCATTTCCTCCTTTTTAATGTCTGATTTGCGAACACTCTTACTAGGTATAATAAAAAAATTAATTTCTTTTTACCTTTCGTTTTGTTTCAAACTTTTCACTACAATTCATCCAAGTTGTCATTCATCCTTTCATCGGTTTTTGTTTCATTCATACCTTTTATTTTGTATGTCATTCATTCGTTATTTTGGTAAATATTGGCTTACGGAAAAGGGTATACTATTTAAGATTCTGTGTCGACGTATCTTAACTGATATTTTGTTTTATCAGCAGTGTAATGTCAAAGATGAATTGAAAAATGTATTTTTCTTTTACATGTATGTTTTACTTCTAAAACATTCATTTTATGAAGCGCTTGCTGATTCTTTCATTTTCTTTCTCTCTTTCTCTCGTTCTCTCTTTGTCTTTCTCTTTCTCTTTCTTCCCCCACCTTTCTCTCTCTCTCTCTCTCTCTCTCTCTCTCTCTCTCTCTCTCTCTCTCTCTCTCTCTCTCTCTCTCTCTCTCTCTCTCTCTCTCTCTCTCTTCATGTCTTCATTTTGTTATCTTCTTCTCACATTAACTTACTCATTCGTTATCTCATTCGTTTGAACACTTTTAAATTCCATCATAATACAATACAGTCATGTTGAATTCAAACACATTTCTTTAAAATAAAGTTCCTGTCTCCACCCCCCCCAAAAAAAAAAAAAAAAAAAAATCTTCGTAATAATTAATTCATTAAATTTTACATCTACCTTTCATTATTCTTTTTTTTTAATCTTTTTCATTCATGTCAGCCATTATTTTGCCACTTATATTTTATCTATACCATTTACACATTCCATCCTTCCCGTTTCTTTTTTATCTATCATTCATTCGTCTATCTTTTGTCTTAACATCCTTCACATACCTTATATTTTTCTCTTTCGTGTTCATCTTTCTAGTAAATGAATCATAACTTTGAAATATATTTTCCTATTTGATTTTCCAACCATTTTGCGTTCCCTGAATTCTCTTCTCGTGTCACTGATATATTTCATTATACTCTTAATCAATAATTTAATCAATTTTTCCCTATTCTTCGATTTTCTAACCGTTTCTCGTTTTCTGCGTGCTCTTCTTCCTATATATTGTATTGTTCTCTTATTCTTCCATGTCAGATTTCGGTGTCATTCGTAACTTGCTTTGGTTTATTCTTCGTATTGTCGTCTACCTGTCCCTCATTCTTCCCTTTCATTCCACTATTATATATTTTTCTTAGTCTTCCTCTTCCTCTTCATTTTCCAATCTTTCATTGCACCGGTATGTTTGTTTCTTTCTATTCTCCTTCCTATTCTCCTTCCCCTTCCATTACTTTACTTTTTCTGTTTTATCATCTTATTCTCTTTTTCTTCCTCTTCCTCTTCTTCTTTCACTTCGACTTCCCCATCCCCTTACTTTTACTTTTATTCTTATTCTTCCTTATCATCTCCCTCTCCCTCTTCCTCTTCCTCTTTTTCTTACTCTTTCTCTTACTCTTCCTCCTCTTCACTTAGACCTCCCCTTCCCTTTACTCTATTTTTTCTTCTTCCTCTTCTTTTTATTCTTCTTAATCTCCTTGAACAGTCATTCATATCTTCCATGCTTTCTCATTCCTCCTTTCACACCATTTACTCCCTATTCCTTTTCCTTACTCTATCATATTCCCTTCCTGTGCACCATTCCTTTAGCCTTCATTAAAAGCTAATCTCTAGAACGTTTATTACATTGCAATATCTTTCGTAATGTTATACTCACTGCCTCTATTATGTCCTAGGTTTATTTTTCATGTCAATTCATTCATTACGTTGTCCTACACCTCATGTTAATATGCCTTGTATTCATCTCCAATATTTATTAATTTTCTGTACAATAGTGATTTCCCCTTCTTTTATTTATTTATTTATTTATTTTTACTCAATTAAAAAAATACTAATGAATATTACCCTTATTATTATCATTCTAACCATAATCTACCCCATCTACGTCACTTTACTATCACCTATTTAATTGTACCATTTTATCGTTAATATTCTGAATGTTTTATTACTCAAGCTTCATATTCTTTGTATTAATGTATTTAGTTTATCATCCAAACCTTTCGTACAATCTATCACATCACTTTCAAATTACTACAGTACGTTTAGTATTTAAATCTTTCATTTAATCATTCTCTTCTTATTTTACCGTACCCCTTTTATCCAGGTTACGTTTTATACCCATAATTACTTCCCTTTATATCACACTTAATGTTTTTTCTTTATCTTTTTCTTAAGCTCTAGGACGTTACTCATATCTTTCCAATCTTGTTTTTATATTATTTCGTTTTTGTTTTTGTTTTTTAGATCGTCCTGTTCGTTAATCATATTTTACAGTAAATTTTATCTATTCCTTTGTGTTTACATTGTTTCGTCCAGAGTAACTCATTTTCTTCTTCTTCTTCTTCTTTTCTTTTCTTTTTGGGTTTGTCGATATTTTTCCAATATTACCCAATATGCCATTCATAATTTCCATGTTATTGTTGTTGTTTTTTTTACTACTATTCCATCACTTTCCTCATTCGTACGTTTCAGTTAACCACTCTTTTCTTGTACTTGCTAATCCCAATAATTATCCATACCTTTTACCGTCCTTCATTTAACCCGATTTTTTCTACTTATCAATCTACTAATTTTCTAGACCTTTTATTTAGTCTTCCCCTTTCCCTCAACTTTTATGTGTTACACTACCCTCTGCCATCCACACTTTAGCTTTCTCTTTTAATGTTCCCACCTTTATTGCTCCTTTTGTTTTCCTTTATACTCTATTAAGTCGAGACAGCGTGTCACCTAAACATTCTATAGACCATTTTGAAATTTCAATATTGCTCTTCCCAGAGTTATTCCAAACCTACCATTTACATTTTACGTTTCCTTATTCATGTATTTCCTTAAGTTACCCATATACCTTCACCCATTTCGTTTTCTAATCTTTGTATTCCATTATCCATGCTTTCACTCATTCACCCTTCATCCATTTTCAGCCAGGTTCTTATTTAGACTTTCAATTCCTTCTTTTCTACTGCTCTATCGAGGTTATCATTCATTCTTATATTTTTTTTTTTTACTTTCATTCTTAGGTGGCATTCGCATTTCTCATATTCCAAATTTAACTCATGTCTACCACCTCCTTCATCCCTTAAATGCATTTCAAATTTCTTTTTCTTTCTTCCTCTTCTTCTTCTTTTTCCTCAATAAACCTACATAAAAAAAGAAAAAAAAAACTTTATTCGTTTCCCACCTTGTCACCTATACTACAATTACTTTACATTTCACCCAAATCTTTCAGTTGACAATTCATTTGCCTGTTTTATATATATTCTACCCAATATACCCTCCAGACTTTTCTTTATTTAATATTAATACCTATCCTGGCTATACCCACAAATGTGCGCATGCTACACACACCTATCACTCATTCTAACATCTAACACACCACTCTAAACCAGAACTATATATTCTGTCTCAATACTATACGCACACACACACACACATCATACAACACACACACATCAATAATCATCAGCCTTCACATTGATATTTTTTGTTTTTATATTTCCTATCACTTTCACTCCCTCGTATTATAGTGTTGTGAATTCTCTACTCCTTACTATACTTTCCTCTCTCCCTCCCTCCTATTATCCTCTTCTATATATCTATACTCCTTCCTCCTCCCTCTATACACGCATTATCTTCTTTTCCCTTATCCTCTTTCCTATTCAACCCTTCTCTTATCTACTCATTCACTCTTACATACTACTACACACACAACACACACACACCACAACACAACCACCACACACACCATCCACTCACCCCTACACACACACACACACATCCCACCTCACATTCTACCCTCCCTCTCTCTCCCTCTTTTCCTTCTTTACTATAATAATGATATATATATATATATATATATATATATATATAATATATATAATATAATACACCTTATACTATACTCATATTATTCTATCCATTTTATACCTCCCTCCTCTTTACTTCCCTTCTTCTCTATACTTTCTCCGTTCTCCTGTACCATCCTCCTACTCTCCCATAACCTACCCTATCACCCTCCACACCACACACACCTACCATCTTACTCCATCTACCTAATCTATATTACTTGTGTATCATTTATTATTTGTACCCCTTTTATTTAATCTTCACCTGATTTTATTATTCTGTATCCATAAACTACTTATCTAATATCCAATTTCTCTTTCTCTTTCTTTTATTCATGTACTGACTCTATCCAGTATACCTTGAGTCGTTATATATCTATTTAACTTTTCGTATATTTCCCTTCTTTTTCTTCTATATACTTACATATATCTTCTAAAACTTTATTATAGTTCATCGAAAGCATTACTTTATACTTAGTAATCTCCTATTTAAACTTCCCACATCTCCTAATTTTATTATAACCTAACCTTGAGCTATATATACTATATAATAGTATATTATTATATATATATATTATATATGTATGTATGTATATTACACACACACAACAACACACAAACACATAAATATATATTACTATATTATATATATATATATATATATATATATATATATAATACTAATATTAATTCTATAATTCCATCCCATTTTATTTAATCTAAATTTACTCTAAAAATGTCATCTATTAATCAACTACTTATTCATGTAATCATTCATTATCTTATAATTATTTTAAATTACTTCTTTTTACGTACCTGTTCGTATTAACTTCATTTTTACCATTCTTTTCTTATATAATTAACAACTCCAATATAAGTCTTTTTCATTTTACCTTTTATCCTTTATATCTTCCTCTATATATACTATACCTAGTATCCAGTTATTATGTGACTCATAATGCATTAATTTAATTTCAATTAATACCTTTTTCAATTTTCTCATTTATTACATATTATAATCGTATCATAGTCTCTTGCGTGTTCCAGTGAATTTCGCATATCAATATCGAGCGGTGATAAAACCATATTTCTTCTTTATTTTCAGAAAGCTTCTTACATATGACAGCTTTATATTAACCTACTTCTATACTCACTTACCTCATTCATCTTCGCTCTTTGTTGTTTAAATGCATTCAGTTATTTGTTATATGGTGTTAAATAACTTTCCGAATCCATATAAAACTTGCTATTCCTTTTATCTTCTGTTGTTCGTCACAATATATAAAAAATTACAAATACCTCTCAATATTCTCTGTGAGGTTCTGCTCTTGCAATTTATCTCATCATTTCTCATATTGCCGTTTCTTTTCCTATAGTTCGTGATATATTCATATAACATAAAGAGGGTAAGTGGAATGAATAACCATACTTTTTCCTCCCACTTCAGTATAGTTACATAAGAACATTATTATTTGATATTATATCTGTCTCAATTTCACTTACACCTTATTTCACCTTTATATTTTTTACAATTCTCTATTCCTATCATGTCATACTCCATACTTGAATCCATGTCATTAATATCACTATATAAATGTAACCTTGTTAGCTATATTATTTTTATTATTATTATTTTTTTTTTTTATATAAATTTTATATACTCAACCTTTCCTTTCATTAATTTGTTATACATTAGCATAAAATATAAAGTGTCAAATCGCTATATTATCCATATATTAATTTAATA